TCAAATCACATAAATCAAACAACTTAACAACTTATTCAGTACAGGGGCAGAATGATTATTTATCCACGTACAACTGTAAATCTACTGTTTTCCAAACGTTCAAACCAAACATCCATATAACTTATATGGATCACCTGCTAATCAACAGCTTATCAGCATAAGTTATTTATGTGGAAAAATTGGATAAGCTGCAGCGGCCCCAAACAGACTCTTAGTTAAGATCTTTGCATTTAAAACGGTGAAACATCAACACATTATTGAAAATCATAAAAATATAAAGAAGCTCAAATCATTATAAAAGCTAAAACAAAAAAAAAAAAATCTAGCACCTTGCTCATGAAAACACTGAAAAAGAACTTAACATTCCACAAAGCTCCAAACAATAAGACACCTTCAATTCTATAAGGCATTAATTTCCCAAATCCACTTTCCATAGTACTGTGCATATTAATTATATCACACAAGTGTAAATTACACAAAGATGTCAGTTGATTATACCCAGGAAACCATGATCATCATCATTAAAACAAGTATCGGCAGAGAATCGGAATTCAATCACACCTCCTGAAACTCCAAGCAGAAACAGAAAACAATGCCCTTTCCTGCCAGCAGAGGAAGAAGTTTCCATTCTCCTCTTTGACTTGATACCCATCAAAACCAACTCTCTGAAGCATCCTTCTCGCCTGAATCAGACCAACGTAACTCAAACCAACTCTCCAGAAACCAGCCATTTCCAGCCTCTTCATCCACCTCTCAAGCTTCTCATGTCTCTCCTTCCTCTCCAACCCCTCACAAGCTATGATGTTCTTAATCTCCTCCCCAAAAAGCAACTTCTCCACCCTCGCCCGCTCCGCCGACTGCCTCGGCACAGTCGACTCCAAGCAATCAAACATGGCCGCATAATAGTACAAAGCCTCCATGAACCTCTCTTTCAAACTCGAGCCATTATGGTTCGATTCTTGCTCCGTAATTAACATGATTTTGGGAGAAAGACTCCACAGAGAGCTCATAAAGCTATCTATTTTGGAGGAAAGATGCCTCCTTTGGGTCGCAGAGTCGTCGGCGGCGGCGAGGAGAGGGTGGAGCTGGAGGAGGGAGGTGATTGCCAGAGCCTCGCCGGTCTTCACACGGAGGCTTTTGACGTCTAGTGCTTCCAGCCGGGAAATAACTGCGTGAAATTGAAACGGTATGTCGAGCTTCTCTGCTTCATTTGACAGGATAGAAGCCATGTGGCTGAGGAACTCACTGCTCTCGCCGACGGCCGTGATTCGGAGGTGCGGAGGGCCATCTTTCCTTGCTGCGAGAGATTGAAGCAGAGCGATCCACTGGTTTGGGTCAGAGCCACTGAGGTCGACGACGTGTACGACCTTCTCGCCGTCCATGGTTTCTAGAATAGCTTGGTTGGAGACAAGATAAGAGAGGCGGAGGAAGGGGAAGAGGTTAAGGAAGAGGCAGCGGGCATGGAATCTAGAAGCGAAGGAGGAGTCAGAGAGTTCGGGGTTAAGAGCGCGGTAGACGCCGGGGAAGGATCGGAGGAGACGGCGAGCGAGAGCTTCGGTGAAGTAAGAAGCGATGCGCTGCATAGTATCGCCATCAGGGGAGGCGAAAAATGAGATTTTTTCTAGAAAGGCGTTGGCTTGGTCCATATTTCCGGCGGCGACATGAGTGGCGCAGTTGAGAAGGAGGTGGATGAGTAAGAGACCTCGCTCGTCGGATTTGAGATCACGAAGCCATGGATTGTACGGGGAGCTTAGGGAGGTTGGGGACATTGACATGAAGTTTGCTGAAGAAGATATCTCGTCCGCTATTCCAGCCATGATCAACACCAAAAATACAGCTTTCTTCTTTTTGCTCGAAATGCTTCGTTTTATAACAGAGGAGAGAAGGGGCGGAGTAAAGAGCTCCAAAAAGTGAACTTTTTGCAAGTAAAAGTAGCGGAACCCGAGCAGCAGTTGGGAATCAGCCGAAGCGTTTCAATGGCTTCGGAACAGAGAGAGGGAACCGAATCCTCTGCTCGTCTTCTTCTTCTTATATTCTTTCTTTCTTGGAATAGCCTCTCTGCCTCTTCTTCATAAGAAGCAGACCAGACTGCCAAATCGCTCCTCCTCTGATTATTGACGGCTTTGGATCTCTTATCGCTATTTCACGCTAATAATGAGTCGGATTCATTATCATGCGATTTTCTCAATGTATTTTGGGTTTGCTTCTGGGATTAAGGTGGTTTTTGTCGTTTTCATGCTGTATTATTTATCTATTTAAATTTGTTATTGTTATTTTTTTCTGATACCGTACAAAATTTTGACTTTTAGATGATTTAATTATAAATTATTTGAATGGAAATGAATCGAGAGATGAAAAAACTAAGCCATTCAAATATTCTTTTCAACTAAATCAATGCAATTATTTAAACGTGTTAAATTCTGGACCGTTCATGAACAAACAACACCGTAAGAAAGAAATCCGATAGAAGAGAAAAAAAAAAGGAAAGTGGCTTTGTATAAAATGTGAAATAAATTTGCTCTATACGCTCTCAAATTCAAATTTGTCGTGTCAGAAGCTCAAAGGTCGGAGCGGTTAAGATCTTGAGGAAGAAAAAAAAGAGACATATGAGAAAAGAAATAAATTAGGACAAGTAGATTTCTCCTGTAGTGGCAAACTGAAATGTTCTTGAGGTCTTTGCCTCCTTTTTATATATATATATATATATATATATCGAAAAAAGCGGTTAAATTGGAAAATGGATAGTCCTCCGTATATGAAAAAAAATCAAGAGAGAAATGCCCTCCCAAAGGAGAAAAGTCAAGAGAAAAGATCCCCTACATGCGAAAAGAGAGAAGAGTCCCTTTTCTTACATGTTATGGACTCCATGTTTATAAGATAAAGATTGACCAAGTCTAAAATTACATGTTTGCCCATACTTTAATACAGATTACTATTTACTATTATTATTTTATTAATGCTCTGTTGTAATAAGAGAGTTAAAAGTCATTACAATGTCTTTTATGGTCTCAGCTTTAATAAGAGAGTTACAAGTCATTATGGTGTCTTTCAATATTCATAATAGATTTTTGGCATATTTTCATTATTTATCTTTTTATTTGGACAGTTCAATTGTTTGATATTCTTGCAGACCGTTTTAAGAGAGCTTAATAAGTTTTTCGATTTTCTTGCTCCTTGATAGTGACAGTTGCAATAAGGCCAAGAAAGTTTTTAAAGCAAAAAATATGATTACACAAATCACAAATGATACCACCCGTTAGAAACTCTTTGTGTTTTGTTCTGGCTTCTTTTGTGTTATTTCATCGTCTTAGAAAGCTTTTTTTTCTCTGAATGGACTTTTTAGTTGGTGATGTGTTTAAGGTAGTCACTTGCGTTGATTTGCTTGTGTGTTAACTTTCATCCTGACTCTTGGAAAAATAGTCTGTCATTGTGTCATCCAACTCGAGTCAAATTTTTTGGCCATCTAATTTGCTAAGTCGCATAATTTTTTTTCCTCGTCCTAGAAGAAATTTTTTTATTTGCTCGCCCGGAGAGGAGACCCTGTTATTCGCTTGTCGTGGAGGGGGTTTTTTGTTTACTCGCCCCATAGGGGAGACCATTGTTAGCTCACCTCAGAGGGGAGTCTTATATTTGCTCACCTCAGAGGGGATTCAATTTTCTTATTCTAGTTCTAAAGGGGAGTTTTTGTTTTCTTATTGTGGAGGGGAGTCCTTTTTTTGCTCACCCCAAAAAGGAATTTTTTTCACTCGTCTTGTAAGGAATTCATTTCTTGTTAACGTCCTTTTCGCTCACTCGAAATTGAATTCCCCGAGTGTCAGTTAAACCTAGGACAACCTTACAGAAATTTTGTCATAACAAAAAATAAGTTATCAAATATCACTATTTTTATTTGTTGGATGAGGTGTTAGTTGCTCAGAATTGATTGGGTGGTACGCACGTACAATCGGTCGGCTTCTTTTGAGCGTTGGGTGCTAACCATTCATTTTGCAATACTCGCCACCTAGTCAAAGACTTTAGAAAGATGATGGAAATGACGTTTCTGGCTCAACATCTATTGTTCCATGAACTTCTTGGTGTGCTCCCTTTCTCTGAGATGCATTTCTTCTCGTTGTTGTTTCCCTATTTATTGCTTGGATGCTCCTGGTGGTGACTGCTGAGAAAATTCTAGATTTTAATCTGCATATATCATGTTAAATCATTGGTGAAGGTCTATATAGAGATATGTGACACAGATTTAAAAGGGTGAAGGATGAAATTGAGAAACAAATGAGCTGAAACAATGACCAACTTAACCAATCAACATTAGGGTAGTAGGGTTAGAGAACAATAATTTGAACTTGGAAATAGAAGCTTGAAATTGGGTTTAGAACTACAGTTTGAAATTAGGACTTCAAGATTAGGGTGAAATTGGATATAGATTGAAAGGAGGTGAGTCAAATTTAAAGATAACTCTAGGTTGAAAGGAAGATAGGCTGAAGGAAGATCTAGATAAAAGTGAATTCTTAATCCCAACTATTAAGAAAGCTAATGGGCAGACTAACCTAAATTTTAGGAATAATGTACCAGCTAAGATGCTCATGTTTTCCCATAGTTCCAGGCACATTGGTGTCCTTAGATTATTAACGAACTACCTAACTGGAGTTCTTCCTTGTTGCTAAAAAAATGTCGAAGGTAAACCATCTCGCTATACATTGGTTTAGAGTGCCTTTGTTTGTAATCATGGGTTACTTCATGCTAGGGCACCCACATAATCTAAGGTGGTAGGTTTAATTATTTTAAATGTCCTTGTTTCTAGAAACTATATTTGGGTGAAGGATAAAATTGAGAAACAAATGAGCTGAAACATAGAACACTTGATCAACCTACATTAAGGTAGTAGGGTTTATGCCTAATAGTTTGAACTTGGAAATAAAAGCTTAAAATTGGGTTTAGAACTAGAGTTTAAAATTGGGACTTCAAGATTAGGGTGAAATCTGATATAGATTGAAAGGAAAGTGAGTCAAATTTAAAAATAACCTTAGGCTGAAGGGAAGATAACCCTAAACTAAAGGGAGTTCTATATAAGGTGAATTCTTAACCCCAACTATTAAGGAAGCTAATGGGTGGACTAACCTAAATTTTAGGAATAATGTACCAGCTGAGATGCTCTCGTTTTTCCATAGTTCATGGCATATTGGTATCCTTAGATTATTAACAAACTACTTAACTAGAGTTCTTCCTTGTTGCTAAAAAAATGTCGAAGGTAAACCATCTCGCTATACGTTGGTCTGGAGTGCCTTTGTTTGTAAACATGGGTTACTTCATGCTAGGGCACCCACATAATTCAAGGTGGTAGGTTTAATTATTTTATATGTCCTTGTTCTTAGAAACTATATTTGGGTACCTAAAGCTTCTTTAAGCTTCTATATTGGACCATTCTACGGTGTGTATGGTCCTAAATTTTCTTCTACGTTGGCTATCCAAAGGTAATAGTTTGGAGTTATCCTATGGTGTGATTATGAAACTAGAGTTGGTAATTTCTTTTTTTTTTGGATTAACAATTATCAAGTGATTCATTTTCTTCTAAAATTGTTAGTTATGGTGACAAAACAAGGTTTTCTAAGTGTTCTTTATTTGTTTTTCCATTTTAAGTATGGTTTTGATCGAATTGTCAATCACAATATATTTGTTATCATCCATAAGTTTTGTTTTCTCCCTAAGATTTTAATTGTGATTAAGGTAATATATTCTAAATGAATAAAATTAAATATCTTATTTTTGTTTTCATCCCTAAGATTTGTTTGTATTCTCATTTAAGATAATAAAAATATATTTTTCATGCAAAAGAAAGATTTTCTGAATATAATTTTTCCTTAAAAAATATATGAGATACAAGCCCATCTACTACATGAATTTGTTTCAATTAAGATGATTCAAGAATTATATATTCAAAAGTTAAGGCTACAAAATCATAAATTTCTAGGGAGAAACATATTCTTTCATGTAGCCACATATTCTGGTGAATATATAAGTCTTGCATAGGCTAAGTAAATAGAAAAGAGCCAGCCTTAAGCTCAAGTTAAAAGTTTTAGAATAAATTCTTTGGGAAGGACTTCTTCTAAGTATAAAAAACGTTTTGGAAAAGGTTTTGAATAAAATGATACCTTTAATTTGAATTTATGAAGAAAAGCCTTAAAAGAGAGTTCAATTAAAAAGTTTTCATTTCAAAGGTTTTAAAATACTCTTTGAGTTTCTGAAAGGGGTTTATTTTTGTTATAAAAAGTTTTGAAAAAGGTTCTACTTTTGAAAAAAAAAATTTCTTCTAGAAAGATTTTCTTGAGAAGGTTTAAGGCTAAGATATTTCTTATAGTTTTACAACAATCATTTTCGAGGTGAAAGTTTGAAAGGAATTAACTTTGTTTTGAAAAGACCGTCTTTCAACATGAGTTTAAAAGTTTTAGAAAAATTCATTAGTTAATTTTTTCTTTTAAAAATATTTTAAAGCTAAAAAAGAGATTTAAAAAAAGGAATTTAAAAGTGGGTTAATTATTTTGAGGATTCTTAGAGAAAGTGTCATTTCCACCAACTTGAGCATTTCTACATTAAATATTAAAATATTTGAGCTTGTATAATTTGAATAGAAAATCTTTTTGTTTGGGTTTAACTAATAATTTAAACTTAGAATCTTTAGAGCACATTAATTTTTATAGGAAAGTGTTTTATTTTAAGGTTGTTTATATGTTAAAAATACTTTCTTTTTAGAGTACAATTAATTTATTTACAGATAAAAAATTCTCTTTTAAGTTTTTCTTTTGGATTGTCAAACCTCTCCCTTTTACTTACCTTTTAGGAAATTTGACTTTGCTTCTCATATCCACCTCAAGCACATTATGCTTTGAGTTGGCCTATAGTCATTTCTAGCTAAATCACATAAGCTCTCAACATGCTTTTAAGAAGATAAATAACCTTACATACAAGCATTCTCACATGCAGAATAAGCAAGAAAGTCATGCAATCATGCAATTCATTCCCATCACATTTCATTTTTTATTTATTCCCTTTTCATGAGAGAAACATGGACTAGCCTATTATATTGGATCAATACATGGGTTTTTCTTGGTGAAGTCTGCATAGAACTTCATTGGTTTATATTCTCGTTCACACACCTCTTGCACATGACACATACATATGTGAACATACACATGTACACATACCCAAGAAAACACATGC